ACAGGAGCAGTTAAATTCTTTAGAGCAGTTAAATTCTTTGGCTATGAAAGCATAACGGTTTTTAATAGGTGTATCACCTGGTAACCTTGAGCATTATTAAATATATGGAGACTGAAAGACATGCAGAAGGCAATGGAAAAGTCTGGCCAGACTGGGTAATTTGTTTTAGACCTATGGAGAAATCTATTAACCATTTCTTCTATAGACCAATTTGATTAGGAATTAGGACAAGCTGTTCTTTCATTACTTACCAAAACCATACTGCACTTTGTATCAATTATTTGGCTGTCTGCAGCACATAGATTAGAATAAAGGTCTTTCTTCATGTTTGCAAATATGTGGATTGCTGATTAGTAATTAAAGTACTGAATGAAGAAAATTAGGCCAAAACTGAATGGGAATGAGAAAGTCTTAATTCTGTGATACAGATGTTACACACAGATTGCCTTGAGCAGCCCATTCAACATAGCGACATTGTACATAACCATGGAGTGTTTGCCTTCCCTGGAAAACTCGGACCGAATGCCTTGGAGATGGTTTCCGCTCCCATGCCTTGTGATGTAGCTGTATGGGTATTAATTTAGTGAAATATCCTGTCTGCCAGGTGTGGGAACTAGCTGATTTTATTGTAATACCAGATCATTACTTAATTCATATGCAACAGAGTGCAGCACATGGAAAGCATTATAAATCTATTTACAATGTGGCTGGTCTGATGATAACATTGTATTAAATTCCCAGGTGAGGCAATTTAAGCAATTGCTTTGCCATGTGCACTCCTTGGAAATTAAATTCTCATATACGCTTTGGTAATAACCCAACTTCATTGTTATGCTTATGCTAGTGGTGGGCCATAGAATCCTCCTTCTGGTTATGCATACCCTGTTTCACATGTAGAATCACACAGGAGGCGTATCCCAGATCACATGTCTTAATCAGTGTAAGCTAAGTTAATTTTCATTTTGTGTCTAGTTTAGCAGTGCCTGTCTAGAGTATATTCCATTTCAGTTGGGAAATGCTAAGGCTTGGGTCAAGTAGATGGTTATAAGCCAAATGGCCAGATAGAACTGAGTGAGGCTATCTGCTTGAACTTGACTTTAAAGAAATCAGCCACTCAGTATGCAAAAGTTCTGTTCATAGACCGAGTGAAAACTGCTTGGAATCTGAAATTCTCACTTTCATAGCCTAAGACTCACTTTTGTCATCAGTTTAAAATACCCACTAAAACTTAGTGCATCTAACTTCTTAGGGATAACAATCAGTTGTTAACTTGTCGTATTTTTTTTATTTTCATTTTTGTAGTTCATCTATGGTCTGTAGATTTTTCCATCCAATTGTGTCTAGTTCACCTAAGTGTGTAAGTTACACAAACACAACTAAAAGTGAGGAATGCTCTTGTATTTAATTGTGTGAGTGTGTGTGAGTGTGTGTGTGTGTGTGTGGCAAATATTGTCAGTTGCAGCTTTTCCACCCTTATGGTACAGACCCCTAAATTGCAATAGATTACAAACTGCACAGAGCTTCTGTCTTTTCCAGAAGCCACACATAAAGCACCAGTAGTCAGTAGTAACTGACAACTAAGACTAAAAATGTTGACAATTTCTTGATTTGCCTGGTTAGCTTATGTATAGAAGTCATTAACTATTTATAAAATGCATTATGAATTGGGTTCCTTCAAACTGTAGCTGAGTGTGTGACATTTCCAGCTCAAATTCTCATGCTTGCATTTGGCTAAAGTACAGATTTTATACAGTTGATAATAAAGTAGAATTATTTTAGTTAGTTTATCAAGCTACGGGAGATGTTTCAGTTTCATTAACTTTAAATATTCAAAATTAAAGTATGATATAGTAGTTAGTAAGGTAGAGTGCAGTTTTTAAAAGTTCCATAAAAGTGAAATAATTTATTGATTTTTTTTATTTTTTGAGGGAAAATATCCATAAAATAAGCGGTTTTTCACCCAGACGAATTTACCTTTTTTTTTTTTTGTATTCATTTAGTTTAATGACAATCCTGCATGCTAAATTATGGTTGATTACAATCAGTTCACTTAAAATTTCAAAGCATAAAAAATTATGAGAAAATACCAATGCCCGGCATTTAAATATAATTTTTTTTAATCTTTATTGTTGAGAGTATTACAGATGTCTTTCCCTCTTTCCCCCATTGCTCCTTGCCACCTGGTTCCTGCCCCCAAAATTCTTAATCAAACCAGTCTCGATTTTTTTTTTTCAAGTATAAAATGATACTCAAGTGTAAAGTGTTCCGTTTCCATCATTGGTTGTATCATTTTCATGAGGAACTATTTCTGACATTTGAAATGAGTTATCTTTTCATTCTTTAGTAGAAGCCAGTCTTTTCAGAGCACATTTTGTAAACTCAGCATATCATTTGCTTAATTTCATCCAGAAAGCTATCCAAATGACCAGTGTCTACCATCCCAGTGATAAAGAGTGGCATTTATAGGGGGACCACCCTTCAACTGTGGATAAATCCTTCCTTCTCCCATTGTTGCTGAGCAAGTACACTCTTAATGGCTGATTTTCAAAAGCAATAGATTCTAACCAAAACAAGATGAGATGTTTAGGGATGCATGCTTGCAATGTTCCACGTTTGAAGCACAGTAAATCAAAATAAGAATATAATGTAATTGAACAATCTATGCCAATTTGTTGGTATTTGGGTGAGAAAGGGGAAAAACAAAAACAATCTCCATGTGAAATTCTTGCATACTGGGGAACGGTTTAGTCCCCCATCGTGATGAGATGAATAATTAAAGAGGCAGCTCTGATACCACAGCCTGTTTAAAGGTTCTCATTTCCTTTAATGCTGGAAAATACTTTGGCTTCGCTAGTTTGAAATGACCAGAGTGGGGATCTCCATATGGGCAAAAGAACGCTTGGGCTTGATCTAATTACTGTGGTAAGGCTAGGAAGTATACTGTCCTTGTAACTTACGTTTTTCTATACAATTCTGTATGAAGTTAATAGAAACAGCTAATGAATAGCAGCTCCAGAAAACACAGTAAGGGAAGCAGGGCCCATGAACATGCTGTCTGTGGTGGTCAGAAGCCTGGCATTTTCACAAGTCAATGAGCGGGTCACTCCTGAATTGTTGAGAATGTCTGATAGAGATGCCATTACTGACCTCAGGCCAATGTCGTAACTTTTCTCCCTCGTCCTCTCTGCAGCATTGTTGGTTGTAGTTCTCTACCTACAGACTTACTGCATTTGCTGAGGTGTAAGTTAGACTTTGCAGCAGGGAAGGCAAGCTTGGGGTAGAGACCCAGGACAGGGATAGGATGCTGTCATCTCCTTTGCTTTGAAACATTTTGCATTTTCTTTGCATCTTTTACCTGAGTGTATCCAGAGGGCAATACAATGGTGAGGAAATTTTGTGTGATAGAAGGAGCACCGAGCTGTAAGTCGACCCCAGTGTTCTAGTCTAATTTAACCAAAGCTACCTTTAGAACACCATGAGACTGGCTTCCTCCTCTGCACCCCCACCCCAAATAATAAAGGAGTATCTAGATTTATGTATTTATTATTTATACTCCATTCAGCCCTTCAACTGGGTTCTGACAGAGAGTAAGCCCTAATGCCCTAAGGCTTCTGTTCCATGTAATAAATTAAATTCTCTCTTACGTATCATTCTTGGGAGAATTCAGAAAAATCGTTACCAAAATAATTTTCTGTTTTATGGTTCAGATAACAGCCACAATTGAGAAAGGCTGCAACTTGAAAATGATTTAAAGTCTACTGGATTTTCTTGTAAAAAATCCTTTTAAATTCTACTATGAGTTTATGTTTAAGGTATTATGATCTCTATGTGGCAAAGCAGGGTTACTCACTAGTTTAGAAGTTGAATTAAAAATCTTGTGGACTTCTGCTCACAGACTATGTCTAGTCCTTTCAAACTGCAGGAACTTTTTGGATCACAATTGGACAGGTGAGAAATTTTAAGTTCTCCACTGCAGACCCGAAGTGAGAAAAAGATTGCCATTTTCCAGTCAACAGTGATTTCTTAGTTAGCTCAGACGCAGAAAAGGCAGCGAAGTCGCCTGTAAATCTGCATCTGGGTGTGAAGTAGCGATGCGCAGCAGCATCTGAGCACGGCACTCCAGCTGCCCAGCTAATCTTCCGAGCCTTTTAGCTTTTCCAAATGTGTGCAATTTAGATAATTCACGAGTTGCTTGCGGACATGTCCCTCTGACTTTATAAGTAAAGGGGACTTCTTGGAAAACAGAATTTCAGTGTGTGAAACCTTGACTCCTGGACCACTTGTCTTTATTTCCTGGGACTGTGAAAAGTTGACTCACAGCCTACTTGCTTTTATTTACAAGTATTGGGAAATTTAATTCGTTTTAACACACACACACACACACACACACACACACACAGGCTGCCATACTTTTCCTTAGTTATTTATAGAGGACTTAAAGACATTTCAATTATTGTCCCAAAATGGGTTGGACTTTTAAATTTCATCTATTTTTGGTTAAGTAACATCACAATAATGAAATATGGATGTACAAATTTCCAAGTATTCCAGCGTATGCATGCAGATATAATATTATCCTAGAATTGGAGATTTTAAAAGACTTGTAATTGTGAAATCCATTTTTTGCCACGCTATTAAAGAACCCCACATACCCTCCTTGTTTTAATTGCAATCTATGCAGCTGTATTTCCTTCAGCGTAGTGTTTTATTGGAATGACTATGTGTGGAATAATATACCAGTTCCGATCCACTTTGATTATTAATGGAGTCCTTACACAGTACAGTTTTCTTTCATTATTGGCATTTGAAAACCACCTAATTTACATGAAACTTCTCAAGTTCAAGAACTTTACACAACTTTGGTTTGCAGGTTTTAGCAAATAGGTTTCCATTAGGGGGCTCTCGAGGTTTGAGATGATCAGCCTTGATACCAATAATGCTCCGAAGCCTTTACTTTCTAACGTTCCCCTCGCTCTCTCCCTTTTTGTTTTGTTTTACAGAAAAGGTCACGGATCGCCTACAGTGACGAAGTGCGCAATGAGCTCCTGGGGGATGACGGGAATTCCTCGGAGAGCCAGGTAGAATGCTAATCAGGAAGGCCCGGTGGGTGGCTGGAGGGTGAAGGAGGTCACTGGCTCACTGGGCTCTCAAGCTGCTCCTTAACAGCATTAGCGGCAACTCATGTGGAAGTGATACTGTTTAATGCAAAGCTGGAGTCTTAATCAACTTCAAAATGTTTCTTGGAGATCTTACATTTAACCCTTTACCTTGGGATCACTGTCTGCTATCTTTTAGAAAAATCTTTTCTTCTCCTTTCTTTATTATTTAGTACTTAAGGAATAACTTGAAACACACTGTTTGCAGACAAAGCCAAGGTCCTCACCTCAAACACATGTAAAAGGAATAAAAAGGTACACAATGTGGCTTTGATAATAATGCAGTATAATTAAATCAACACTCGCAGCAAAACAAATGAAAGTAAGCTTTCAAAATTCAACAGGGCAGCCCGGGCTCCCATTGTGTCGCTTCTTAAAAATACATTCAGTAAAATGCAAATTGCGAGTACCAGTGTGAAACTGGGATGCGCATACAGAGCTAGTGGCCTCTGTGAAATAATAAAAGTAATAGCAATAATAATAATGGGAAAAGTCGTTTTGCAATTTAAGATCTGCACAAGCCAAAAGTAAGGTACAATTTCTTCTTAAAAGGGCCCATAACTTGGCTGTCAGTTCTCATAGGGTTATACAGTAGTGTCCTGAGCCCAATTAATGTCCCACTTCTTCCTCTGAATTAATACTGCAGATTTCATTAATTCATATAGATAACGTATGACTTTTAAAAAGTGTTTCAAGAACCTCAGTGCTGAGATTGATTTTTTTTTTAAAATGTCTCAAACAAACGTAGTGACTGATTCTCTTAGATACTTTTAAAGGAAATAAATGATAGGGAACTTCAGAAGCAAGAACTGAACATGTTTATTAATGTCACTTTGGCAAGTGTTATAAAGGTCTCTGCTCTGCCTAAATAAAAATGGACATAAATCACTCATTGAGTAAACCAAAATTTTAATAAGATTGTAAAACATAAATAATTTATTCATACACATTGTAAAAATTGCATAATTGTATTTACTATTTCACATAAATTGTAGCTCTACATATGCTGAAACTATGTTACTATTTACTGTAATGTTAATAGTATAAACAGGGGTGTTGTTTATGTAATTAAGGCCCCCATCCATCCACCCCAAAAAAGGAAAAAGGATCACTGAGCTGATGAAAAGATCTCCCTCCCTCCCCTATTTGGATGTTATCAGCGTGAGTTCAGATGTGTAAACATTTTAAGATTTGACTGGGAATTTCAGCTTTCCTGATTAAAATGTAAAAATAACTACTTGTAAGGGGGGAAATTATATAGAGCACATCAAACAGAAAAGGGTGATGTGAGAAAGGGGTTTTGCTCATAATAGATTAAGTAATATAAGAATGAGAAAGAAATATTTTCTTCCTATTTTAAGTGAGACTTAGGTTGCTCAAACCTCTTGATTTGAGTGAATCATAATTTTATTTCCTATCTTTATTGCAGAGAAAGCCTTTTTTTTTTTTTTTTTTTTTTTACAAAAAAAGTGAATGCGTAGTTCTCATGTCAGTTCTTTAAAAAGCTATAGATCTTTCTCTCATTTGAAACTACCTCCTAATAGAGAGGAAAGGGAAAGGAAGGGGTACCCTGTCTAACTCACACTCCTTTATTGTAATGGATGTTGTAGTATATGACAGAGATCCCTCTCTCTCTTTTTTTTAAGGCATGTTCACTTCTCTTAATGGACATTTTATGTGCCTAAAACATTTGTCTTACGTGCATATGGGTATGATTTTTTATGCCTAAAGAAAAATATTCCACAAAAATAGATTGAGTTCATATTTTCTGAATTTTGCAAATTATATCCCTGTCACTTTAAAATGATTACACAGAGATTTCGCATGGACTTGTATAAATCAAACTTACACATTCTGAAAGTGCTCGGAGAACCTGAAGTTTAGTCATAAGGACCTGTCACTTCCATAAATAGAGTATGATAAATGATAGTCATGGATATGTAATGGTTAGATTATTACTTATGTGAACTTTTCCATCTAAAATTTGAATTAGGTTTGAAAAGTTCAAAGAAACCACACTTAACTTTTTGGATATTTAGTTACCAGATATAGAAAAAAATTCCCTATTATACTGAAGAAATTAAATTTTGTTTTAGGTCCTTTTATCATAATATAGAAATTAAAATCCCTCCAACTAAAACACGTTAAACAGGAATGCTCATTTGAGAATAACTCTTTGTTCTCCATTAGTATTCATTCAGACTATGGAATGAAAACAGAAGCCTTTTCCTACAGGAAGAAAGGATTTTATGTTAGCTCTTCATGTTAGTTTTTATAGCTGAGTGGCAGAGAAGGTAGGCTCTTCTGGGCTTATCTGTAACTTATGTAAGAAAATATTTTCTGCCCACCAATAAGTTTATATTCCAGTTAATTTTTGAAACATTGATTTTTCAGAACTTATTGGCTTATCATAAACTTTTAATGTACAGAGAAAACTTGCAAGTAAACAAAATGAGACAAAAATAGCAATATTTGTTTCATTGAAATTGGGCTATATCTCAATTTTTAATTATAGATGAGAAATAATAAATAATTCATAGCAATGGTTAAAATAGATAAACTACTGACTAGTTAGTTACTTTTTATGCAGTAAACATATCATCCCTATTGTGGCTTTTGGTGGTGATTTACAAACATGTCAATGTCATAACTATTATTTCTCATTCTGGCCATTTATAATGATTCTGTATGGTTTTTTTTCTTAGGCATTTAAAACCTGGCTGTTTATACACATAAATATAGTCTTCCAATTAACTATAGAGTATATTAATTTTCATATATATATATATATATGTATATATATATATATATATATATATATATTTCAACCATGATTGGAAATGCCCTGCATACAGTACACAATTTCATTTAATTCCAAATTAATTGCTTTCTATAAATTTATTTCTGATTCTATCCATTTCATACATATCCAAATATAGTTCATCCCAGATTTACAAAGATGGGACAAAACTACCTACTTTGCACATTTGAGTACTATTGTTGGGTCATCAGCTTTCCAACAATTGCTGTCTTAGGCATTATCATTCTATTCTTTTAAAACGTCATGTTTCTCATAGAGCAACGTTTTAGAACTTGAGAGAATTGAGTTTTTTAAATATAACAATGGAAACCTTAATAGTTGTTATCTTGATTTAGGTTCATAAAGACCATTCTCAGAAAAGGAAAAAACACACAGAAACAAAAACCATCTTATACAATTAAATCCTCTTCATAGTAAAGTGTCATAATGGAGTATATAAAATGTTCCAAGCAATCCTTTGAACCCTAATAGTCTCTCAGTTTCCCTTATGCAAAATTATATCGATCAATGAGTAAGCCTGAGTAAATGAAATGTGAGTAAATCCTAAGGAGAAGGTTCAAAGAAAGATCTGTAAAGAGTAGGCTATTTGCAAACGTGCCAAAAGTTGGGTGGCAAAGCAATAGCTAGCAGATAGGATTGCTTAATTTTTTAAGACGAGGTTCTCGTAAGTTCCGATTTGAGCTTGCTGTGCATAAAGTGTGTCAAACTCCAGCCCCAGAGCAGGGGGTGAAGTCGGTCAATTTAATTCCCCGAGATCTAAAGGAGGTCGGTATCATTTCATATAGCCCTGGCAGAGCAGATCATTACCAGGCACAAATCTGTTCGTTACGTGCTGAGGGTTTATAGCCAAATAAATAGACTGTCATCATAAGTTCAGAAAATTGTGTGTTCGACCCACGATAATGTGCAAAGGGCGTTTAATAGAGTTCAGCATTTCTTCGTTATCTGTATGCGGACAGAGACGCCAGTCGCGTTATCAGCTTTAAAAAAAAAATAAATAAAAAATTGGGGCGTTGGGGGTCACGTGGTGCGGCGCCCACTCGGAGGCGGGCATGGGCCGCACATGCTCCCGGCGCAGGTTGGATTTCAGGCTCAGGCAGCAGAAGGCTTCCCCACAAGAGATTCCGCTGGTTCAGACCAGCATAAACCAGATTTTGTTTTCAGCCCACAAAGGAACAGATTACCTCTTGTATCAAATTCTGCATGGAGGGAGGGGGGGAAAATCACCTCTTTGTTTAAAAAAAAAAAAAAAAAAAGATGTTGATTATCATAACTCAACGTGGAGGCATTGGTACACCTTCATGTGGTCTCTGATGGAGCTGGTAACTCCATAAAATAAGAAATCGCTCCTTCCAGTTCAGGCTAAGCATTAATTTTCAAATATAGCCCATCTTTTGTTTATTTGAATGAAAACTCTCAGGCCTTTAAAAAAAAAAAAAAAAAAGATAGAGATTAAAACCCCTCCCCTTACCTAGCTTAGCTACAAATCCGGCGCAGAGCCTGCGCGCAGCCATGCAGCACAAACAAGATAGAACGGGTTTTTGTTTGGAACCTATTGAAACAACAAATGGGGAGCATTTGAAACACTCATTGATTATGGCAGGGTGGCATGCCCCAAACGGTCTCCATTGCTGAGAAGTAGTTTTAAACTTTGGCCCTTTAAGTATCATAGTCAAGTGATGAATGGTGCCCCCAGAAAGAAAAAGATAGCTGTGCGATCAATTCCCAGATCGTCTCTTCCCAAGAATGCATGTTTGCCTTTTTTTCCATGATGTTCAGAGAGCAAAGAGAAAGATTCCGATATATGATAGGCCAGGTATCTGAGTTTCAAATGTTATACCTCTTCTGGGCAAGAATAGTTCACTTCCACATAAAACTCTGAGGGCCTTGACTCCTACCCAATGGATGTTGCTGAAAGAGTGAGCAAGCTTATTAATTAAAAATAATGGCAACTTCTTGTGTATTTTGAAAAGATGACATTAAAAGTTTCGTTTTCACTAAATGCACTGTGAGACATTATGTAATAAATTTTGTACCCATTTTTAAAAGTGTTTCATAACAATTCCGAAAACTCATTCTTTTGTGCTTGAAATACTTTTCACATAACAAATGAAATATCAGCATAGGCTGGAATGTATGCCGCCTTCTTTGAATTGGAGACAAAAACAGCATTAAGCATTGAGAAACCCGGGCTATGGTAAACATGATACTTTCAGAGACACTTTCAGTGAGCAATTCATAGCACGTTTCTCCCAAAGCAATAGTTTAATTTATTGGCCTGCATATGTCAAGTGTTATAACAGATGTTACAGATATTTGGATGTTTAAAAATTATCAGTTGTGGATCTGAATTGCTGAGGATGCACATTTCAGATTTAGAATGTGGTTAATAGTCTCTTACGACACAGGTTTCAGTTTCTGTTCATTGCAGAAGCCATGGCATTCATCTCAGCCAAACAATGACATTTGTGTTGTATAATACTGTCAAGCGTACACACCTACACACACAAAGAATGAGTCAGACATATGGTATATCCATTTCCTGGTATCTAAAAAGTTAAGCAGCTTATTTTATTGTTATATTTAAGGCAAATAGAAAAATGTTCTACAAAGGAGAATTAAAATGTCCTACGACAATTAACTAACAAGTAGAGAGTGGTTTGTTCTGTCTTTAGTGAAAACGGAGAGCAGTACAAATGAAATCAGAGAGCTCATTGCTTTGAGATGGCCCAGTTTACAAAATGAAAAAGACTGAAAAATAAAGAAACATAAAAAATAAAAAAAATTAGAACACCATGTGACTGCAGTAGCCTCTGAAGCAAAACAAATACCTAGAAATTAGCTCTAACCTACACAATATTTTCAAGGATAGTGAAATATTTTCTGATACCATATCCTAAATATTATCCATCCTAGCATGCTTTATTCTCAGTTAAAATAAATTTATCTCCTAATGCAATATTTTTACTAGGGTAGGTACAGGTCTGATATTAATTAACAGGATAGTTTGTTTTAAATACTGATTGGGACAAAAGCATTAACTATTAATCATTTTCATTTGTGGGTAAAATCAGAAATCAGTTGTCAAGATTCAAAATCGAGAAACATCCTGAAAACTTGTATATACAAAACCTTTTCAGTGGTACATTCTTAGAAGAGAGGAACAGTAAACTTGTTTTCTTTCTTTATAATATAGGCTTCTATGAAGTCGTTCCCCTTTATTTCATGATGGTGTCTTAGATGTACTTTAAAAGAGAATTTCACACTATTCTCTTTGTTGAATGTGACAGTGTGAGAAAGTGATCTTTATTCGTTCAAAAAACTCTGCATGTAGTCTATGTTTAGGTTCTTTTAATGTGTTTGTCTGTGATTTTTAAATGCTAAACATGTAAACAGATAAATTGTCAATGTTAATTCTGTATCCTGTCACACAACTGATCTTTCTTTCCTGCCATTTCTTTCCTTTTTATCTTTTTTTTTTTTTTTGTGCATTCATGTTGCAGTTGATAAAATTACGTGAAGAGGTGAGTATTTCTTAGCTTGCCTTTTATTTTTTTTAAATTCTGCTTTTCCTTATAAAATTGAGTTTCTAAATCTGGAGTAAGATCTTTGGGTTCATTTTTCCAGGAAAATCTGCACATAGCAAAAGTATTGATTATATTGCTAGATATATTCTCTGCTGATTATCTTTCAAAAACACATCTATCCAAATTATGCTTGTCTCAGTGATCATTGTTGTTTGTTAGCATCAGGGGGAAATTCATATTTTAAAAGACAAAAATGGAGGAAAAACAGGAATATCTTAAAGCTATACCCAAGTATAGTTTTAATGTAGGCCAACTTCAGATTTGTTTTATTTGTATTGGTTTCATAAAGAAATCAATATGATTAATTTCTTTTTTCTGACAATCCGAGTTACTGTACTGAAAACTATTTTTAAATAAGCTTCTTTGCTTTACTCAAAATTCATCCTAAAATACCATGAATCTATTATCCTTTCGGGGAAACACACATATGTTATAAATGCACTACTAGCCTATGTACACAGATACCTAAAATAGCCAATGCTCTCGTCATTGTGAAACACATTCCTTTCTGCAGGAAACAGCACCCAAGTGAGTTCTCACTTTCCTGAGTTTGCAGGCCTGTTTCATAGCGCAGCCGCAGACTTTTGTGTGGTTACAGCAGTGCTTATAATTTTATCCCCATATCAGCTAGGAATGCTGAATGATTTTGTATTTCTTTTTAATTAGACCAAATTCATCAACTTTGCTTTCAGAGATAGAGTAGTCTTGTTCTTTATTGAGGGAGGTTGAGGTTGCTACTTTTCTATTAGAGCATAAAATAACGGCCCCAATTGCAGTTTAAAAATTGTCCAGTTGCCTATGATCATAAGAGTACTGTGAATTATTTCTGAGTTCAGATTGGGCTGCATGGACTCAGAGTTTCCTACAAGTTTTTTATTGCTATGCCATCTTTCTCAAGGTGATCCGAATGCTAGTGTAGAGGGGCTTGTAGATAATGGTTTTCAACAATTCTTGTGATTGAAGATACATGAGTGATGTCTTCTCTGAATAAAACTATTAATGATATATAAAATGAAGGGTGAAAATGCACAAAACACGCACCCTCTAACCTTTTTGCATTTTTTTTTAATCTTTCCTACATTGAAGCAGATGTGTATACACTAAACAAGTATAATCAATTGCAGCTCTGACATATAGATTTTTCCTTAAGGGAGTGATGCATCCATGTTATTTCTTTTGCAAGACAGTATCTGCTTGTGTGTATTTGCATATGTCCATGCTTAGGTGAAGAATCTGAATTCTCAAATGTTATTAGAACCAACAATCGACTTGAAAAGCTCTGTATAAGGAAATTCACTACATGAAACCCCGGCTGCTAAATTTAGCAATGAATATAATTAATAAAAAGTATGTGCCTTATCACAATGGCATTTTTGACAGAAGGCTCTTTTTGTTGTTCTTGGTAAGCCGAATTGTGTGGACTTTGCAATCTTAATTCTAAAAGATGCTAACATCACCTCTGCATTTCTTTGAACATTTCCTGGTGCCTATCACAACAGTCTCATCTGTTTTGCACGTTGCCAAAACCGTAACCTGCAATGCAGTTGTGCCTGGAAGAAAGATACCACTCAACTAATGGAATAATATACTCTGAAATGGTCTCTTAACAATCTTTTAAACGGATGCAGCGTTGATATTTATGGGGCAGGTCACAGTGATGACAGTGCATTGGTACATGGTTTCCTCAGAAGAATTTGTTTCTCAACCAGGATTCTAATAGGAATCAAACTGAATGTACCCCACGCTTCTAGGAATCAAACTGAATGTACCCCACACTTCTTTCTGGCACCTATCCTAAGAAAACAGGCACTCGTCTCCTCTGAAACAGGATGTTTGGAAGCAAAGCATGCCCTATCCCTTCCTTCCCCATGATGATGCTCTTTCCGCCTCAGTTGTGGAGCAGGGCACGCTCGGAGGCCGGCTGGTGTGCACTGCAGCTGAGCTGGCTTTGGCTGCGCCTGGCGCTCCGTTTCAATCCTGCATCCCAGCTCTCACGTTGCACAGCTCCTCACACAAGTCGGGCTCTGTCTGAAGCTGCTGCACAGCTTTGCTTACCTGCTTTGAAAGGGCTGAGGAGAGGGTGAGAGAATGAGTTTGGGATGGAATGTGGGGGCAAGTTGAAAGCCTCTGCTGCTACTGTAGTGTACGTCCTTTTATTTTCAGAGACCGGGGCAAAGCACAACTAAGGGAACAATGTAAATAGCACAGCTGTTACAAGAACTTGTTTTTAGCTTGACTTAAGTAAAGAGGTTCCAAAATACAAAGTGAGGTCCTGGGGAAAGGCTGCTGGGGACTGGCTAGTCCTCCTGTGTGCACATTTACTCCGATAGAACCGCACCGGCCCGGAGAGGAGCTGTCTCTCTTATTGAGGGATATTCTTTTTTTAAAAGTGGGAGTTCTTTTAGAAATATGCTTTCCATCATAGCCATGCTCAGAATAATCTGATTTGTTCCCATTTCATGGGATCCCAAAAACCACCCCACATTTAAATGCTTTGTTTCCTACATTATATATAATCATCTGATGAGACTGTCGATTTCCAGTATTGATCTTGGACTTTTAAAAAAATCTTCAGTAGCTAAATGGTTTGTTTCAATTTAGGGATTTCATCCAATCTGTAAATGAACTAAAAATCTTTGTTCTGTTACTCTGGATTAAAATTCAGATTACCCTTGATTTCACAAATTTGATCTCTTTTTAGAGAGCCGCCAGTTTGAAATGAAGTCCTTTGTTACGGTAGAAAACAATACTCAGAGAAGGGAGGAGTGATGCTGTTCCCCCCAAACCTGCATGTAGTGAGAATCAAGACAAAGCTGTTTCGGCAACAGGAGTAAAATGTTTAATTTTCTTTTAAAAATGGTCATCAATGCCAAACACGCACACATCCCCTTGCTTTTCGTTTTCTCAATTACAGCCTTTAGTGATTTTTGCATTTCCAGGATATATGCTTTCCTTCCTCCCTTTTATTTATTTAGTTTAGCTTTTTTCTTTTCCAGAGGGGAAGTTTTCTCTTAATTTCTCCACCGTCTATGAAATGACTTTATTAATTATTATAGGCTGTTGTTGCAGCTTTCCTGACCTTCACATCAGGTCCTATCTCTCTGTTCTAAATGCATTGTTTTAATGATTCTTACCACCACCCCACCCCCGACCAGCCCTTCCCCCCAAAAAAAATTTCAAGGAAAGCTTTGATGTGGCTTTAGCTGCCTCCAACGTCTGGCCGCATCTCAGATGTGTCACCTATGCCGGGAGGGAATAAGGAAATCACGTTTTGAATGGTAATGATAACATACTAATCACTTCCTTTCTTTGAAGATGGAAGCGAGATATTCTGTCAGCATCCCTGGCTGCTAGAGCTTGGAGGCACTGGTCTAGGTGTATTAGCTTAAGTGTGCATGTCAATACAGCTTGCATCTCCAAGATCCATGGGGGCTCA